CAGAGCGCAAGCTTCGCAGACCGGGTCGTAAGACCGGTTGGCTGGAAGGGTTTAGCGCACAACAACTGCAGATATATCCACGGAGTACTCTTATGTAACCGGTCAGTCAAATACCCGGTTGGATAACTAGAGACGTGCTTGACATGCTTAATCTTGTTATAAATACCCCTAAAACCCTCATTTGTGAGGTACGTTTTAATTAATCTACACGGCTCGTACTTTGTAATAGTCCTAATATTATCAATAACAAACCGGGTTACAGGTGTTCCCACCTACATCCCTTCCGATTATTTTTACTTTGTGTTTGCGTGGTAATTTACACCATCAGCAGCCACATGTTAATTTTAACTTTGGGGGTGGGGAGTGTGTTTGGGGTCAGGGCGGAGTGGGAGGGGGGGTATCAGGGTAGGAACTATCAATATTACAAACGAGTATCGTAGCGGTTCCGGGTCGTTCCATGATATGAAGTTCTAATGTTATGGGAACCGCCCCCATATAGTAATAGTATCAGTTTAGTTTGTTTACAATTTTAAAGCATTCGATTACTTGGGTGTTTATAAAAAGCTAGACCCCAGCTTGGGGGTCTGCCGCTTTAACCCCGCTACTGGGGTTGCTGTCCCTAGATCTTGCTAAAGAATTTGGAATATCATGGAACGAGCATGCATTTTACATCTCTGAACTCGTATCAATCCTTATAAAAGTTGTCGTTTGGTAACAAGTAAAATCAACTATAAAAAATTCTTGTGACACTAAAATCACCAACATTATTAAATGCATTGTGTAATTAAAGAAATGTCACTACTATCTTCTAAAAAATGAATTTTTTTCCCTCAATACAAATACTTTCTAAGAGCATCTCCAACGGGAGAGCAAAAAATTGAACTTCTATATTCTCATTTAGCATTTCTATAGTGTTTTAGAGGTGCATTTATTTCACTCCGTTCCAATTACAAATGCTAAAGTTGAGTTGTTAAACATGAAATGGACATTTGTTTATTATTTATTCAATTTTCTCTCCTGCTCTCATTAGTTATTGGACACACATCAAATCATTTTTGGTGGGCTCAAGTCATTATTTTATCAATTAAAGTTTTAGCTCTTATGAACAGCATCTTCCATATATAAAAGGTGCAGAAGCATTTGTACATGACCTTCTAGAAAATAGAGCTTCCGTTGGAGGACTAAATTTGCTACAGCAACCTTTATTGTTGCTATTTTTAAGCATTTAGCAGCTCCGTTGGAGTTGCTCTAACTTAGAGTATTGCTTGAGGATAAATAATGCTTAAGTGTGAGGATATTTGATGAAATTTGCTAATACTTTTAGCCTAATATTAAATATGTTTGAGTGATACCCAAAATAATTTTTTCTAATAAAGCATTTTTCTAAATTAATAAGTACTCCCTCCGTCCCAAAAAGATTTACACCTTTCAAAAAAATTGCGTCCCACAATCTCCTACTCATTTCTATTAAAAAACCACTTTTACCCCTTACTTTTTCAAACCCTACCTATCACATCATACCTTTTTCCTAATAATCTACACATCACATCCTACTTTACCCATCACATCAAGGGTATTTTTGGAAAGTCAACACAAAATTATCCCTCCCTTAATTTCAACTTTAGTCAAAACGTGTAAATCTTTTTGAGACGGAGGTAGTAATAATTACTTACATAATACTTCATAATTGAGATATATTCTCTTGATAGTCCTTAATAAATAATAATTACTTATATGGTACTTTATAATTAAGATTTTTCAATTATGGTCTTCCTAATCCCACTTGGGTAAGCATCCCACAAAATCTTGAGAAGTTAGTATTTTAAATTTAAATTGCTCAAGCCAGCTCATATATTCATTTATTAATTTTGAGTTAATCAAGATACTACTTTGAATGCTTTTTAGGATATGTCATGCCATGAAAGCTGTTAGGATAAAGCTATTTGTACCCCATGTTTTGTACTCCACTTTGTACCTCGTAGCTTTGCACCAACACTTTGTGTTGGTGTAAAACTAATTTTTGTTAATGCACCAACACTTTGTGTCCATGTAAATTTTCGTTAACGCACCAACACTTGTAACGGTGTAAACCATCAAAATGTTTGTGTATAACTGTGGTGTACAAATGGAGTACAATTTATGGTGTAAGTGTAGCATAACCCAAGCTGTTAAGGCATAAGGAAGAATTGTTGACCAAAAGCCAATGAAATTAGTGAAGAAATTCATTAATTAATTCATGACTCTCAATTTGTCAGGAATTTGAAGTCGCCAAAAAAACAAGTTGCTTTTTTTTTATCAAAACACTTAAAATGGACTATAGGATTTCCAAATTCAAAGTCCTGAGAATGCAATGGTCAATTTCTTGACCTTACTATTCCATAAAAAAAAGTGTCCCAAACTCATTCGAGATCGTCCTACACATATTCTAGGAGATATAATCAGCAGCTATGAAAGGTCTTCACCCCTTCATTCAACATACATTCTCCATTCCATCCTCTTCCCCCTTTTAGTAGCAAAGTAAATAACCATATGGTGTTTACTCTTATTTTTAGATTTCCCTTTTCTTAAGGAGTTCACTAATTTAAATTTTCTTCTCTTTTTTATCTTTTTATCCTTTATAAATCAGTGCATAATGTGATGGGTATATTGGGACGAAAGATAAATATATATGTGATTAATTTAATAGCACTAAAACATAATGACTTTCTCTAAATAGCACCACATGTGTTTTTCATCCTAATTTAGCACTTTTAGTCATTATGCATTAGTCATTATTCAAGTAAATATTTGTCATCACTAGACATTATAGATATTATTAAATGCTATTTAGGGAATAAAATAGTTTAACTGCTATTTAGGGAAATGACTTAAGTTTTAATGCTATTTAGTGTAAAAATTTCTTAATATATTTATCCAAGTAATCATGTGCCTAGTGGTTTTAACCCCGACAAAAGGCAACCCATGAGCCCGATTGGCAGGTTGATCCACCTAGGGTGTGAGATATGTTTGATGGGCTGGAAATTATATCATTAGAGTACAATATCATTAGAGTTAGTTTACTTGAGGAGAAGTTTGTATAGTTTCCTAAAGAGACTTGGTTAGATTAGGAAGTTATAAATACTCCCCAAAAACATACGAATAAGAGGAAAAATTTTCATACTATTTTTGAGTCTTGCTATTTCGTCTTTACTATTATTCCGTAATTCTTGGGAGAGATTGTGAGATTTATATTCAGTGGAACTAAAATTCCATCAGTAACTAATTTCAAACCCACAAAACAAGAAAATGGACAAACACATATGAGGCATATCACTGTCATGGCTGAGGAGAATACTCTCACCTTGAAATTCATTCAACCTTGCCTTGTTAAGGTCAAAACAGATCCATGGAGTTTTCATTTCCAAACAAGTATATAACACATTGAATACACACATGAGTTCTATAGATTCAATTCATAATAATCCAAGATTATCTTGATTAGGGATACAACAACAACAACAACAACAACAACAAACCCAACATAATTCCAACTCCGTTGTGGTCAAGATGTACGCAGATAATAATTCCAATAGCACCAAATTCAACAATTCACAAAAGCAATGAGCTTTGTTATTAATGAAAAAACAGAGTTGCACATATTTCCAGCTTCTTTTGCGACCGTGCTTTGGCGCAGAAAGGAAAATTATGGCTTAGTGGGCTGCCAGGGCTGGTATCTTGTCCAGTCTCTTTGCCCCCGGTTTAGGGAGTGCCCTTTGGAATGATATATATACTCATCGCCCTCTCCAGAAAAGTTCTCTTTGTGCTCAACCCCATACCGTTTTGGTTTCAGCAATAGCAGCTGCACCACAGACAGTTTAGATTACGACGTGTTTTGATGATGGTCAGTGATGAAAAAATAGCAACAGAAAATTACTTCTGGGTACCCTTGATTTTCTGCTCAGAACCCCATATTTTCCAAAATAACTTCAGGGGCGCTTGTATTTTGTGGTAATGTACCCCGAGGGTACATTCTGTCAATTCCACCTTTAGAAGTTAACGGTCTGCTAGTTTGACATATTAAACACCCTAAATTTCCTATGATGCCCTTATCATAAGTACTCCACGGTACTTCAAGTTTTAAACTAAGAAAAACAAAGAACTCACAGGTCCCTAATATGCCTTCCTACCAGGCCTTTCTGGCAAACCTTCTTTCCTGCGAATCCCTGAACAACCTTCTTCTATTTCAGGCCAACCTTCTTTCCGACGACAATTGTCCAAAACCAAAAAAATTTTAAAAAAAAATCAGGTACTAAGAATACTCTAATTTAATTCTTACGCACGTTATCCAAAAGTATTCTAACTTAGTCTCTATATTATCAATACTATCGGTGTGACCAACAAGAATCAACATTTAAAAAATGAAATAACAGTGAAAATCATAGTTATCACGGCGCCGCCTAGGCATCCAGACGCCCTTCTACTCTCACCATGAGAGCTCGCCTCGCCTTATTTTGCATACCTCGCCTAGGCGTCGCCTTGGCCTCGCCTTGGCTCGCCTAGTCCAGGACTAATGTTTTTTTTTACTCCACTGCTTTACTTTGTTAAGTGTTTTATAAAACCGGCTGCAGTGCTTTGTTTTTTTAATGCTTTATAAATAAGTTAATTTGCAAGTTAATGTTTTTTTCTACTTTATCTTCCTAATTCATACTCGGTGCTTAATTCTTTTAAATTTTAAATGATAAATTTATTACCCACTTAAGTCAGTAACACTTTTTTTTCAACTTTGTTTTTTAGGAAAGTACTTAAAAGTAATTTTGGTAGTTAAACTTTGATGTATTAGAAAGATTTAAACTTTAACAACTACTAGTACAATATACAATTTGATATATTTATATTAGTGTTTTTAAAGTATAGCAAATCTCCTATATTAATTGTCGCCTAGGCAGTCGCCTAGTCAACTAGGCGTCCTGGCGGTATCCAAGCGCCGCACCTCGACTTGGGCGCCATGATAACTATGGTTAAAATGCAATAAACAAAAAAATGTAATGGTATGTTTGGGAACATGGATTTGGATTTCAAATCCGGATTTGGCTCAAATTCCATGTTTGGGAAACTTAAAAATTTTGAATTTGGATTTGAGTCAAATTCTTCTCATTCATAACAAAGCTTAATTTGAAATCCATGCACCTCCCCTTGTCATTTGAAATTCAAGATTTCAAATTTTAGAATTGAAATGCATGAATTGAAATGAAATGCTAGTTGTCAAACAGTACCTAAAAGAATTTATAATACAAACGTTAAAATAATGTGAAAATAAAAGGGAAGAAACGGAAATAGAAACAAAAAATGAAAGGACACTCGGAAACATATAAAAGAAAACAAAAATCGAAAAAAATTGGAAAAGAAAACAAAATCTAAACGGTAACCCAGGGGCATTTCAGTCAATTCACCCCTCTTAAGGGTGGAATTGACAGAATGTACCCTCACAATACATTACCACAAAACTTAAAATACCCCTAGAAGTATTTTTGAAAATATGGGACTCGGGAGTTCTATGCAGAAAATCGAGGCTACACAAAAGTAATTTTTTGTTATAGTAAGGGCAAAACGACTTACCTCATCTCCAGTGTGGTCAGTGATAAAATGGAGCCAGCCATGCCATTCTGGTGGAACTTGTGAAGCATTGTAGCGACCCTTTTGTGCATATTCCACCCACCTATGTCTTCCTACTCAGTCAAGTCCAACAAAAACAGTAATAATCTCAATTACTTTTACACTAGTAATCTCAAATAACTTTAACCAAAAGCCCCACTTGAGTATTCAAGTGGTAAGGAGTTAGCACCTCCATTCAGTGCGTGAAACTAGGCATTTAAGTGAACGCACAATGTGTGTTTTTTTGGAAAAAAAGTGCACAAAGTTAATGGAGAAGCATTATAGTCATTATGTTTCAGTCAACAAAAGCCGAAGGTAAACAACACCAACCTTCCAAATCAAAATCGAGCTAGGTTGTAGCCTAAATACAATCATTGAGTCAAACAATATAATTCATTCATCTTAGAGTATTCGTAAAATCTTAGTTTTTTAGTCAAGTTGGGTGAACTTTAATCATCAATTAAAAATAAATTGCATTGTGTACTAATACAAAAATGATTTCATTAAATTTTTCTTGCAAGGAACTTTCAAAACATTATTGCACTGTATTAATATGCAAAGCATTCTTTATTTAATTGATAATCAAATTTCATCAAGTTTGACTGGAAAAGTGTCATACTTGATGAATAGTACATGACTAGGGGTGCAAACGAATTTTAATCGGATCGGATGTGCCATTACCAAATCCGCATCCGTTTATTTTTGTCGGATATCGAATTCGGATACGGATCTAGACGGATATTGAAAAATCAAAACCGTATCCGCATCCGTCGGATATCGGTCGGATATCGGATATATCTGTATCCGTTTCCAATTTTTAAAACTAAATTAAACAATACTTGAACTTTCAATTAAACTAAATTAAAATATTATTAAATCAACTATAATTTTTATGGGATATTAATTTTCTTATTTTTTATAGTTTATAATATTCTACGATGACTTCATATCATAAAATGATATCCACAGTACATATATACACATACTTTTATGTGTTTACACATATATTTTGCATATAAAAATGTCGTATACTTTGAGATATCTATAGAGAAACAAAATATAAGAATAAAAAATTAGGAAAGACTATATATAACGGATCGGATTATACGGATAAACGGTTATTTAAACGGATGTCAATGCGGAGCGGATTATAAACGGATCGGATGTATGATTACCAAATCCGTATCCGTTTAGCAATCGGATATCCTTAATCAAATACGGATAATAACCGCTTTTAACGGATGCGGATATTTTCCATATAAACGGATACGGATGCGGACGGTAATCGAATTTTTGGTTATCCGTTTACAGCCCTATACATGACGGAGGGAGTATGACTATTAGAAAGTACTTTTATGAGGTTCAATACCCCCCCCCCCCACACCCCCACATACACATACTCACGCCAAAGGTCTAGGCCATCAGTTTCAATATAAGTTTGGAAATTTTAGTGAACAGAACCCCCCTAAAATAAGTGAATGCCGTGTGTGAATATGATCTCAAACTGTTAGTCATACACTTTAGGTTATCATACCGACTAATAGAGTAATAGTTGCAATATAACTTGCCAAACCTACTTAAAACAACATACAAGGTCAAACACTCAGCAATCAGCAGAATACAATAAGGGTGTATTAGAAAAATGTGTCCCCTCGTGCCAGAAGGAGGCCCCACTTGGCAGGGATATAGAAAGAGAATATGAGAAATAAAATATAAACGTATCCACTAATAAGTGAAGCCTTGAAGGTGAGATCACTTAACTGATAATCCCTCAATCCCGAAAAAAGGTTTCACACTTCCTTTTTTGTTTGTCCCCATAATAATGTTCCACTTTTCTTTTAAAGAAATGATTATAAGGTTTACATCATTTTCCTCTCAGCTCTGCATAACTCTAAACAACTCAATTTTGCTTCTCTTAATAATCAGGTTTGGTCAATTATGAAACCTTACTTCAGGACTAAGGGAGTAGTTTGATTGATACTCGCTCAGTCCCAAAAAGTCACAATTTATAAAAAGAAAATTTTTTTCATTTATTTTGTCATTAACTTGCCAGACCATGTCAAAGACACATTAAATATGATGCACTTACTTAAACAAACAGATACCTAGTATGTTTTATTCATATACATGTGATTTTTAACAGTTGTGCTTCGCCAAAACTTAAAACTGTACCTTGACCAAAATATGACATTTTTGTGACGGAGCCCGGAGGGAATAACATTAATGAGAATAAAGGAGTTATATTGCTTCATACCACATTGAGTGTCTCCAAGCTTCTGATAGTATTTGTTACCAAACTTATCAACACCGACAAGTGTTGCCCCTATGTTGTGAAGCTTGGTTTGTCTGATGATATGAGCGAAAACAATAATTTTATTAAACATCAATAACAAAGCTAAAATCCATTCTTGGGCCTTTTGTTCTGTGGTTTATAATGATTATCCATGGTTTAGAAATGGATAACCATGTTCGTTTCCATATGTGTTGTATACTTGTATGGTTTTTATGTTAATGAGTAATTCATGGTTTTACTTTATTTCCAAAAACTTCATAGAGAGTACTGTACATCATAGGAAGCAATGAATGTTTCATGTTTGATCCAGTGCAATATTAACCCAAAGCTAAATCATTGTCAAAATTAATCATTTAGCTCCATTGGCAATGGACAAAATACATGATATAAAATGAATGAAAATCTCCCCCGACCACTCCTTCTCTGGTTTTAGCGGCAAGGGCCAAGGGGTACTAATGACTAACAGCTGTTAAACCAGACAGGAAAATAGCTAATCAGTTGGAGAGTAAAAGTTGTACTCACAGGAGATTTCCATCAAAGAAGCACTTCCTGTAAAACAAAATGCAACAGATCACTATGCAATTAGTCGAGAGATCTTAGTAATCAGGACAATAAAAGGGATTCAAGAAATCATTTGAGCATCTAAAACATATTTCGCTTTAATCGGTGATTTAAGATAACATTATAAGAATGCAATAAATCAGGTCTGATTTGACTAACAGGCAACTGAGGCATGTTCTGGCTTGATAACCAGTGAATCAATCCTAAAATGCCTGACCAAGTCCAAATATACAACAACATAAAGTTTCAGTCACAGTCATCGATAAAAGGGATACAGTGATTATGCAAGAACAGCTATCCAGATAGATCCAAAAGATTAAAAGCAAAAATGATTCTTCTTTTATACGAAGCTAATTATACATATTAATCTTCAACCATATTGGGGCGACAATTGACGGAGAGTGGCACAAAATTGATGCAACTGAAGTCTCAAAGACATTTTAACCATTCACTTATTTTGCAGGCTTGATGAGAATTCACCCAAATTACCAATTTCACGAATTCGGTGGACTGGTTGCGAACCCTATCAACAGGCTATACAGAATTTCAGCTTTCGCTTTGAATGAACAATATTTTTTAAAAAAAGATAGGTTTTTGAGATGCGAAGCTAGATCAACGCAGTCGGTGTTTTCTGGCATCAAGTTTGCATTGAAAAAAGTAAGAAAGAACCATCCATATGAAACAGTTGTATTTATTTATGATGATGATGATGATGATTGTAGCACTGACGTGTAGCCTTCTTCTCTGAGCTCCCTGATAAAGTTTCCGACGCCCTTTTCCCGCAACGCCTTCAATGCATTCTTCACCACCGACGCCATCTCTTCAGTCTCAGGGTATCACACTACTATCACCCGATTCTCCCCTACCCACAATCCCACTTTGACCATCTAAATAAATACTCCGGACTAAGTTGGGGTGAGAAATAAATACTACTAACTGGTGAGGTCACCAAGTACCAAACCGATCTCGATATTTTCCAAAAAAATTGATATTACGCTATCAAAAAATACCGAATTGATAAAGTACTGAAAAGACTCGTATGGTACCAAATCGAATGGTTGGTGCGATATTTGGGATCAGTACGAGATAACTTTCCATACCAAAAAATCTCAAACCGAAAATTAATACAAATATGTTATAAAAAATAATAATGTTTTTATATTTCTTCATAAAATAATGAATTGATTTTGAAAAGTTGGTTCCAGGGTAGATGAATTACGAATAATCTTTTATTCAAATAATCATTTATTTGAATTTTAATTATTTGTAGATGAATATAAAAAACTAACAAACATTTAAAATACTATTTTGTTATCATTCACTCTCTTTTGTTTGTGAAATATGAAGTATAAATTAAATTAAGTTTTACAAGCATTTCTTGTATTTAATTATTCATTATTCATTTTTTATTTTTCTTTATTTGAATGTAATTTTGATTTTTTAAATAAAATTTTTTATATATTTCAAAATATAAACTAGGTACGTATATATATTCATTTTAATATTTACCGAAATTGAAACCGAACCATCGAACTGATACTTCGGGATCGATACGATGTACAATCCCATACCGAAACAAATATTTGGTACGGTGTCGCTACGAACCAAATACCGTACCATACCGTACCACGCCCTAGTAATACTTATTACTTTGTAACAACAAGAAGCAAATAGAGAAAAAGATTAAATAAGGAGTAAAATATAAACCAAATTTCAAAATAAGGGTTCCATTATTTATTTTCAAAATAAGAGTTACAATGTCAATAATGTCAATAAATAATAAAAACAAGACTGTGAAATGCCAACATGCATTGTCACATTGTTGCAGTACAAATTCCTATTTGCATTGGAATAAAAATATGCTTCTTCTATTTAGATATAAGAGATATATTTTAAAGAAATCTTCCCAGATAAGAGTAAAAGAGTTATGAAAATATCAAAATAGGAGTCCTAAGTCTTTTAGTACCAAAATAGGAGTGTAATGAAAGTGTGGTCTAAAAGTGCATGCTGGCAGTGTGTTGGAAAAGCGACGATAGTGTAATATATTAGTGTAATCAGTCAATCGTTGGTGATCCGCGACGTCACTCTGGTGGCCGGCCGTGATAGTGTAACAGTTACAATGTGACAATATGGTGAGTGTGACAGTGTAACAATGACAGTGCAAACTCATATTTTGGTCTTAAAAAACTTATGACTCCTATTTTGGTATTCAAATAGTTTTTTACTCCTACCTAAGGAGTTCTCCCTATATTTTACTTCTACTTTAGATGATTTCTTACACAAATACTCCCTCTTTCTAAAAATTGTCTTCTCGTTTACTTTACATAGCCTAACTTATTTACTTTGTTGGCATGTTTCTGTTGCCCATTTGGAAAAATAATATAGTTAATTATGTCACCTCTAGTTTTGTAAATTTTTTATTCTGTCTTTAAATATGTAGTCTTTATATGTTAATTCTACATTATTTTTATATAAAATAATCTAAAAAGAAATAGATAAGAAAGAGTTTTAGAAGGAGCCGAGTGTTCCTAGATTGATGAATTTTAGAATCCGGGCCTAGAGTAGACTAGGTAAGAAGAGTAATTAGAACGAGGATACTGCTCCTAGATTGCAAGAGTGTAGTATGAGTGTATTATTGCTTAGTCGGATTGTGATTCCCTCCTCCAAAGTGGAGAGAGTATTTATCTATAACACCCTAATCCGTCCAAGTTTGTAGCCCCTTTCGGACTAAAGTATTAACGTGGTAACATCAAAATTTCAAACATTTAAAAACTTTATTTCAAACAATTGTCCAAAATATTTCATAATTACATCGGAGTAAAATTATTTAAAACAGTGCAGAAGCAATTTGTAAACTACAACAGTATGGTCAACCCATGTGATAAAAACATTTACTTAAATAGTATATTTGTTCATGTCCGTGTATCACATCTATCTCAGTATTCTTCAAAATAGGCTCCACATTTATTCTCTCTCATACTTACGTGTAAAAATATGAAAAAGTCTACATGCTCAGCAATGAAGTTGAGTGGTACCATGGCACAACAAAAGAATTCATAGAATAATTTCTTAAACAATACCAATCACATATATATGTTCAAATATTCGCTTTTCATATTTAAAACTGTCTTTGTTATTTTAACAACGATAATTAACAACATCATTCAAACTTATATAGGAATCAGTCCACACTTCACAATAATCACATGTCATTTTTATTATCACAATATTCATCGTTTGTCACACATAATTTCTTATCAAGTTTTATAAAAAATAATTGCTCTTAACTTATTCCAAGCTAAGGCCAAATCATAACAATGCTCTTAAACTATTTTTAGTCTAAGGCCAATTTAATTCTTAAACTAATTCTAGTTTAAGGTATTCCTAACCAACCCTTAAGCTAGGCCTAGTTTAAGATAAAGATTTTTAAAAGAGGTTTTCAAAATCTTAAACTTACCTTCGCTTAAGGTCAACCAGAAACCGAACAACGGAATGTTCACTGTCGGGTGGGTGGTACCCCCAAACGAGTAGGTACTCAAGTTTGATTTGTGGATCCCGTACGTACGTTTTAATCCTGGCCACCAGGCATCATACCCGCAAGGCCTAACTAAATGGGTATATCTTAGAGTTCTTCTAGATACCCTTCAAAATCAATATCAACATGGTATATCTTAGAGTTATTCTAGATACCCTTAACAAAACATATTGTTTTCATAATCATCTCTACATTCATTTCTAAACATGGTTCAATCATTCATAATCATCATTTTAATCAGAATATTCATCAAGGTTCGATCAAAATCAACATTTAATAAAAATCATCATAATATTCAATAACAAGTAACAACCTAGTGTCGAGTGTTAATACTCTAGCTTACCCTCATACATTATATAGGGTTCTTGAATTTGTCGAAACATCATATTTATTTCTAGAAATCATTTTCACATTGATCATAATTGATTGGTAATAAAAACAGGATTTTATAGCTTCAAAAATAGCATTTTTGGACTTAAAATAATCGTAACGGTTGACCGTTGGGTTCGAACGATCAACCTTACCATTTTTGAAAAATTCTCGGCGTAGGGTACATGGATACAGTACCTTGGTACTGTAACACGGTACCTTGGTACCGTGACACGGTACCTTGGTACCATTTAAACGGTAGTATGTAGCTACCGTATAGGCGCAAGAGAGACGCAGTCACTATTCATCATCTTCAACCTCGATCTAATTTCTCAAAATACCATTTAAGCTTCTAATCTTTAAACTAGCTTCATAAAAATGTTTTCAAACGTCCATAAATCATTCACAAACGATTTATTTGAAACTTTAACAACAAAACAAGTTTGGTGAATATGAATATCAAATATTTATATTTTCAAATATATATGAATCAATAAGTTCAAGGATCATTCCAATGCTTTCTGAAGTTGTTTAAAATCATGGTACCGATGTGGAAATCAACGAGATAAAGTTCAACGAACGAATGAGAGAGAAAACAACGCCGGAAATCTTAAAATCTGTCACTTCCCGTCACCTCTATACTAGCCCTGGTTATCGGGCCATATCTCCTTTGTTACTCAACGAAATTGTGAACCGTTTGAAGCTACGGATTTGTAAGACATAAGGCTACGATTTTTGTGCAGAAATTAAATTGAAATAATGAAGTTTAGAGAGTGTAAAAATGCTCACAAGTGGGCTAATATGTGCTGCCAGGATTTTAAATACTTTAATGAACGACGACTCCAACGATCAACTTATCAACTTCAAGATTCCTTCATAAAACCTTCCCTACGATACCGTCTAAAAGTTCCTAATGATCGTTAGAGAGTTTATGCTAAGTGTCTTGAACGGAATGAAGTGAATATGTGAAAAGACTTAACCAAACCCAAGGAGCTCGCCACCACTGGCGCAGTCCCAGTATTTTAGCCATATCTCCTTCGTTTCTTAACAAAATCGCGAACCGTTTGTTGGGTTGTATTCGTAAGAAATGAGGCTACAACTATGATATAGAAAGTATTTCGAGATAATGGATAGAAAATTACAGAATTCATGTAGAAGTAAGCTGCTGTGTTTGAGCTCAGGATTTTGGAACTTTGGATGGTTTCTTGCTTCTTCTTCTTCTTCCTCAGCACAAAATTGGAGTATTGCTGTTGTGTTCTCTCCTCATTTATGTTGTACGAAAGAGAGGAGAAGAGGGAGTGGATAGTAAGAAGGATTTGCAAAAGAAGGGAATACTAATTATATAGCATTATTATGTAGTGGAGATATCCTCATTATGGAGTTATTATGACTTTTAGAAGATTTAAGAAATCTTTAGGTTGGCTAATTGAATAAAAAGAACTAACCCAAATCCGACTTATCAATATATATATATATATATATATATATATATATATATATATATATGATTATTCTTTTCGAGGACATGGAACTGTTAGCACCAATTATCGTAGTAGTTGATATGATAAATGAATTTGTTCTAACCCTCATTCTCAGTGATGAAAATGAGTACTTGAGTTCGGATTCTTCATGGCAAGTCGATGCAGATGTAGGTGTTGATGACGGCTGGATAACAATTGAATTTTTGAATGAAATCAAATGTTCAAGAATCCCAAAATACAAAATAGTTTTGGAAACATGGATACTGATTATGCTATTGAGAAACATTGACCAAACATTTGGATTGTGAAATGGAACAAGATTAATCATTGAAACACTATGAAATAACGTTATATGCAATTGTGGTTTCGAGAAATTGAGTCGGGGAAATGTTTACATACCTAGTATGAATTTTGTACCACTTGATCTAGAATTACTCTTGAAGTTCCATAGAAAACAATTCCCAATAGTTTTATATTTTACTATGACAATTTACAAAGTCAAGTTCAAGCATTGTCATTTGTTGGATTATTTTTTACCAAGTTGGTGTTCACTCATGGTCAACTTTATGTTGATGTTTCACGAGTGAAAACAAAGACAATTGAATTCTAAAAACTCTTGCAACCATGCCAAAAACATTGTGCAGTCCGAAGTCTTTCAAAAAAACATTGAATTTATATATAAGAATTTTCATTACATAATCTTAAATGCTAAATTATTTATTTAACTTTAATTTTAGTGTCTATAGTGTTTAAAAATGCATTACGTACATATATTTACATAAGTTCATTTTAAAATATTACATTGAAAATAATTTATGGTATGTTTGGGAACATGGATTTAGATTTCAAATCCGGATTTGGCTCAAATTCAATGTTTGGGAAACTTAAAAATTTTGAATTTAGATTTGAGTCAAATTCTTCTCATTCATAACAAAGCTTAGGAGGGTGTATTCAATTCCGACTCTGCAGGATTTTTTTGGATTTTAAAAGTCAATGAGTATTCAATTTAGATTTTGAAAAATCATTCACAATTTTGAGATATTCAATTGAGATTTTAAAAAATCTTTCTAAATCTAATGATATTGAAAAATTGATAGATTTTTAAGGATTGTTATAAAAAATGGATTGTGATGGATTTTGAGGTTGAAGTATAAATAAAAAAATTGATTCCAAATCCAATCAAAAGGCCAGGGATTTTGTGTGGACTCCAAAGAGCATGTTTTCTTCCTCCGTTCAACCTTCGCCAAATTTGTCTTCTTCAACCTTCGAAAATTTTGTGTTAGCTAATCTTCTTCAACCTTCGCCAATAGAAAGAACAAAAAAATTGTCAGAGGGGCAAAAACATGGAGGAATCATCATGGTACCACGCCGCGCCTTTGCTCAACTTGGTTGAAATGCTTGCCGGCGACTTCCCCGGCGTCCGTTTCTCGTTCTTCAGCACTCCCCGGACCAACAAATGTCTGTTTAAGCCGGACGCCGGCGGCGAACTCAACATCAAGGCATACGACGTGTGGGGCAAGGCGGCAAAAGGGGCGGCGTTGCTGCCGGGACGGGAGGCCGCCATGAGATTTGTGGAGGCGATGCCGGCCAACTACGAGAGAGCGGTTGAGGAAGCGATGGTGGCGGCGGCTTGGCGACGGAAGAAAGGAGATCGAAGAATAGCAATAGCGGCTAGGGTTTATCCTGGGGAGGAAGAAGAAAGAAAAGAAAAGAAAAGAAAAAGAAAAAAGGAAAAAAAGAAAAACAATTATAAACAATTCTCCATAATCCTATAAAATCCTGTTGATAAAATCCACTAAAATCTATCTAACTTTGCATAGACTTAAAATAATACATTGAGTTTACATAATCCATGGATTTTAAACAATCTATCAAAATCTTTTAAAATTTAGATTGAATACACCCCCCTTAGTTTGAAATCCATGCACCTTCCCTTGTCATTTGAAATTCAAGATATTAAATTTTTGGAATTGAAATGCATGAATTGAAATGAAATGGTAGTTCCCAAACACTACCTTACAGAAATGATAAAAATTTTGTTCGGCCTTGTGCGCGATACCGATTAAAATACTCGTTAAATTAAATAGATGTCACAAGAAAAAGTAGAGGTGAGTCAATCCTTTCTCCCATGCTCTTAAGGTCCATTCTGTTGGGAAACGAGGCTTGGATAACGCAGCGGAAAACAAAAATTTATAGTCCAAAACTCGATTCCACCCAAGAACAACTTACGTAAATTACTAGCTATAGTAAGAAATTTACCTTAACGGTGAAAACGGAGAATGGAGGAACGGTCGGGGATGGTTTTGAGGAGATGAACGTAGCGCCAAACGTATGAAGCCTCCAACGTATCCACACGAACTTGCTCCGGAGTCCAAGANAAACGAGGCTTGGATAACGCAGCGGAAAACAAAAATTTATAGTCCAAAACTCGATTCCACCCAAGAACAACTTACGTAAATTACTAGCTATAGTAAGAAATTTACCTTAACGGTGAAAACGGAGAATGGAGGAACGGTCGGGGATGGTTTTGAGGAGATGAACGTAGCGCCAAACGTATGAAGCCTCCAACGTATCCACACGAACTTGCTCCGGAGTCCAAGATTAAACTTGTGCTAGCAAGTTTAATATAGGATAGTAAAAAATATAATAATACTACTTTGGGAGTAATAAATATATAGTAAAATATTTATCTTATAAATATTTCTTTATAATATTTTGTGTATATTTCTAACACTTTAGAAAATAACTTTGAACACAAAATAGGATTTTTCTTCTCTCTTCCTTGTGATGTGTAAAAGGAAAGAGAAGGTTAAGAAGATTTGGGAGATATTTTCGTATATATTATTTTAGTAGTTTCCTTGTATAGTGATGATTCATTTAGTTTCATTGTATAGTGATGATTTAGTTTCCTTTATTATCTAGGACTCTACACTATATATGTAACACATGAATGTATATGGAGACAGAGAAATAATACGAGTAATTTTCCTCCTACGCAATTCTTTCATGGTATCGCAGCTTAAACTCTAGGAATTCCCGTAGTTACTATTCACGATCGCCCGGCATCGCGTCCATCGATCGTTGGCTGTTGCTGTTGCTGAAGAAGACCGGAACGGTCGACCGTGCTTGCGTAACGGTCGAAGGCATCGACCGTCCCGACGGCAGTATCCTCAATCGCTGTTGTTCCTGATCCAAATTTTGAACGTTGTCATCTGGTATGTCTGGAGAAACACCGATGAAGATAATTTCCAATAAGAAGAACGAAGAACGAGAGGAGGAGGAGGTCGGGATGCGACGTCGTCGTATCTCTCCTTATGATTTATCTCCGAGCGACAATCCGGGTATGATTTTGACCCATGTTGTTCTCAAGGGAGATAATTATGATGAGTGGTCCAAATCTCTGAGCTTGGCTCTTCGAGCACGCAAGAAATTTGGATTTGTTGATGGGACAATCGGGATGCCTGATCCTGAAGATGAAGATTTTGATGATTGGTGGACGAATCATTCGCTTTTGGTCTCTTGGATTCGGAACACAATTGATCCAACCCTGAGATCGAGCATATCGTTCATGGAGAAAGCCTCAGATCTGTGGAATGAACGGAAGGCCCGCTTCTCTGTAGTTAATGGACCTAGGGTTCAGCAGTTGAAGCGGGACTTGGCGGAATGCAAACAAAAGAATCTTTCTGTAATGGAATATTATGGGAAGATGAAGAAGCTGTGGGATGATCTTGCAGATTTAGAGAGTTTTCTGACTTGCACGTGTAGGAATTGCACGTGTGACTTGCCAGAGAAACTTACGCAGATGCGTGAGAGGGAACGCTCTCATCAATTTTTGATGGGTCTGAACGATACTTTGTATAGAGCTTTGAAGTCAAATTTGTTGGCCCAAGAGATCATACCGCCGGTGGCAAGAATATATAATATTCTTGTCCAAGACAAGACGGCACGAAATGGTATGCACAAAGGAGAAAGCAGTGAAGCAAGTGCATCTGTGTTTGCCGTAAAGAATAAGATGGAGATCAAAGAGCTTGTGTGCAGCCACTGTGGGAAAACAGGACATGAGATCGAGGCATGCTACAAGCTGATTGGGTACCCCGAAGGTTGGGTATTTCGCGATCAGGTCGGAAGAGGAAGAGGAAACGGTCGAGGAAGAGGCTGTGGGACTGCACGGGGCAGCGGACGGTCAACCGTGGTAGCTGGACGGTTGACCGTCACAGGTGGACGAGGTGAAGCTCATGCTCTCCAAGGAGAAGAAAAAGGACCATCTCCACTGCCAAATTTTGAGGACTTGATGCCAGAACAGTGGAATGCTGTTCGTCACGCCCTCTCGCTCTCCCCGACAGACAACTCATCAAAACTCTCAGGTATTCCTGTGTCACCTCGTTGGATAATCGATACTGGTGCGTCGAATCATATGACAGGTGATCTTTCATTATTATATGATGTGGTGGGTGTGTCTCCATGTGAAATTGGATTACCCGATGGAAAAAGGGTTGTATCCGTTCAATCTGGAAAGGTTGACTTGACTATGACTATGACTTTGCAGAATGTGTTGTTTGTTCCAACCTTGAACCGTCATTTGATTTCTGTGTCACAGTTGACAAGAGATTTGAACTGTGAGGCAAAGTTTACCAATAATTTGTGCATCTTACAGGACCTAAGTTTGAGGACAACGATTGGTGTGGGTAGACTTGAAGGAGGATTGTACTATTTGAAGAAGGAGGAGAGGAGCATGGTGTGCAGTGCTGCCAAGAAGAATTCGTTTGACCTCTGGCACAAACGTCTAGGACATCCTTCTTCACATGTTTTGTCCTTAGTTCCTGTAGTTGGTTTGAATAAACATAGTCATAGTCATTGTGATGTTTGCTTGCGTGCTAAACAGACTCGTGCTAGTTTTCCTATCAGTTTTCATCAATCTATGGATAAATTTGATATGGTACATTGTGATTTGTGGGGTCCTTATCAGACACCAAGTTTGGATGGTTCTACAATGTTTTTAACTATCGTAGATGACTTTTCACGAGGTGTGTGGGTATATCTGCTTGATTCTAAGCGTACCGTAGGAGGTGTTTTTAAGCAATTTTGTGCCATGGTTGAATGTCAGTTTGGGAAGAGGATAAAGTGTGTTCGAAGTGATAATGGTACAGAATTTGAATGCTTGACAGAATATTTTCTTGAAAAAGGAATTATTCGTGAGACATTTGTGTGTCTACTCCACAGCAGAATGGTAGAGTAGAACGAAAACATTGGCATATTTTGAATGTGGGTCGTGCTTTGAGATTCCAGGCAGGGCTTCCGATCGATTTCTGGGGAGAATGCATACAAACGGCGGCATATTTAATCAACCGGACACCCTCGTCTCTTTTAGGGGGGGTTACGCCGTATGAAAAACTTTATGGAAGGGCCCCTGCACTGACTCATATTCGCATTTTTGGTTGCAGATGTTATGTACATAATTTGAAGAGAGATGGGGATAAATTTGCGCCCAAAAGTATTCCTGGAATATTTTTGGGTTATCCACAAGGAAAGAAGGGATGGCGTGTATATTTTCCCGACACTGGGAAAATAAGCGTATCGCAAGATGTTGTGTTTTGTGAAAACATATTTCCTTATTTGATGACTACAGGTGAAACATTAGAAGACGATGGATCAAGCAGTCCCGCTCCGGCTGATCATTATGATGATGATGATAATGAAGTAATGGCGGAGGAGCAGCTGGACCGTCCACAGAGGAACGGTCAGCCGGAAGAAGGCGGAAAAGCAGTTGAGCTACCGGCGGTCGACCCGACGGACCGTTCTCATGTCCACGGTCGACCGTCATCAAGGCAGAAAGGTGGAACTCTGGGAGATCAACCAACGGTCGACTCGGTGGACCGTTTGGAGAGACACGGTGGACCGTTCGAGGGGCAGAGAGACAGACTTCAGGGAGATGAAGAAACGGTCGACCGTGATGACAACAACGGTCGACCGTCCCCAAGGCAGAAAGGAGGCAGTGAGGAACCATCACAGACGGTCGACCCCGTGGACCGTTCCACGGATGGCGGTCGACCGTCCTCATCCCGACAACCAACAGAAACCTTGGGGCGTGGTCAACGGGAAAGGAGGCCAAATGTGAGACTTGCGGATTATGTCACACATGTGGCCGGTCCACTTACTGACAGAAAGTGCAAATATCCGCTCTCCTCCTATGTTACTTATGAGAAGTTTTCTGAGAAACATAAGTGTTTTCTCATGGCACTTGATAAAGACATCGAGCCCAGAAACTTCAAACAAGCATTCCGGGATGAGCGATGGCGGAAGGCCATGCGAGAAGAAATTGATGCTCTGGAGGCTAATGCGACGTGGTCTCTTGTTCCTCCTCCGCGTCATAAAAAGGCTCTTGGGTGCAAATGGGTGTATAAAATCAAACGCAAATCTGATGGTAGCATGGAGAGATACAAGGCTAGGCTTGTTATACTCGGTAATCACCAGGTTGAAGGCATTGGTTACAAAGAAACATTTGCTCCTGTAGTCAAGTTGACTACTGTGAGAACACTTTTGGCAGTTGCGGCGGTCAAAGGGTGGGAATTGCACCAGATGGATGTTCACAATGCATTCCTACATGGAGATCTGCACGATGAGGTGTATATGAGGTTGCCGCCTGGCTTCTCGAGTTCGTCTGATATGGTGTGTAAACTCAAGAAGTCCCTATATGGCTTGAAACAGGCTCCACGATGTTGGTTTGCAAAATTATCGGGAGCATTACGAAGATATGGATTTGTGCAGTCCGTCTCCGATTACTCCTTATTCTCTTTCGTTGGAAAAAAAGGAGTGATTCATGTTCTGGTCTATGTAGATGACTTGATCATTGCTGCTGATAGCACCGAGATGATATGCAAATTCAAGGATTATTTGGCAGATTGTTTTCGTATGAAGGATTTGGGGACTTTGAAGTTCTTTCTTGGCATCGAGGTAGCACGAAGCACATCTGGAATTTTTCTTTGTCAAAGAAAATATGCTTTAGACATCATTACTGAGGCGGGGTTGTTGGGCGCCAGGCCATTGGGTGCCCCAATGGAGCCCAATCATCATCTGGCTCGTTCTCAAGCCCCAGTTCTTGCAGACCCAGAACCTTATCGACGATTGGTAGGACGATTGGTCTATCTTTCTGTTACACGACCAGAGCTTTCTTATGCTGTGCATACTTTAGCACAATTTCTGAAGGAACCAAGGGAGGATCAATGGACTGCGGCCCTTGGGGTAGTTCGTTATCTAAAAGGATGTCCTGGACAGGGCATTTTCCTTTCTGCAGATAGTAGCCTTCAGCTTATCGGGTGGTGTAATTCGGACTGGGCAGCATGCCCTTTGACACGGCGGTCGCTGACGGGATGGTTTGTACAACTTGGCGAGTCGCCGGTCTCATGGAAGACAAAGAAGCAGACAACAGTGGCACGTTCGTCTGCTGAAGCTGAGTACAGGGCTCTTGCTGTTCTTACTTGTGAGTTGAAGTGGTTGAAGAATTTATTGCGATGTTTGGGAGTTGAGCATACGGACTCTATGACGGTTCGCTGTGATAGTACCGCGGCACTCCACATTGCCGCTAATCCAGTTTTTCATGAACGAACGAAGCATATTGAGATAGATTGTCATTTCGTTCGTGATGAGTTATTACGTGGAGAGATTCGTGCTCTTCATGTTCCTACAATGCACCAGCTTGCGGATATTCACACGAAGGCTCTTGGAGTTTCTCATACCCAAGTTGGGCATTACTTTGTTACATGCTCCAACTTGAGGGGGGGTGTAAAAGGAAAGAAAAGGTTAAGAAGATTTGGGAGATATTTTCGTATATATTATTTTAGTAGTTTCCTTGTATAGTGATGATTGATTTAGTTTCCTTGTATAGTGATGATTTAGTTTCCTTTATTATCTAGGACTCTACACTATATATGTAACACATGAATGTATATGGAGACAGAGAAATAATACGAGTAATTTTCCTCCTACGCAATTCTTTCATGATGGCCGAATATCACACACCAAAAATGGGGAGGGATACTCACACTTTATAATACAATGTATTAAGGAAATGCTAGGAAATTGCTTAGGGACAAAAACAAATTAGGCTTAATTCATTGTTCCCAACCAACACAACAAGACAAGTATACTTTTGTTAATCAAATATTTGATTATTCAATCAAATATATCATTAGGTAGAAAATCAATTTATTTCTTGTATTTTTCCCTTTGAAATTTCGCCCATAGCATATTAAAATACATTACATTTTATTTTACATCAATAATTATCATATAATTAAAATGATGAAAATAAAAGTAATATATATATATATATATATATATATATATATATATATATATATATATATATATATATCGGCGCTACATATATATATATATAATAAAAATTTGTTTTTGTCAAAATATAATTATCATATAATTAAAATGACACAAACAAAATATAATTTTAAAATACATATGTATTTTCGAAATACATATATATATAAAATTATCACAACTATATATTTAATATTACTCCCACTAGTGTAGTATACTACTCCCTTACAAGTCCTAAGTGTGTGACCCTTTAGGTATCCATAACACTGGCAATGATATTAATAAAATTAATACCATAGATAATAAGCGGTATCTAGCAACACATTATTACCCCCAGATTATGAAAAAGACGT